GTGACTTGCACTGTTTCTATTTCCTCTGATTTTTGTTTGTTTGTTTTGGGCCTGTGTATTATGTGAGATGCCTTTCTCGAAAGACCAGTGATCTTTGGCTAACTGTAAAAGAGGAGTAAACACACTAACTGAAAGCTCTGTATGCATAGGTGGGATTTGTTGACTGTCTGACAGGCATCAACTTAAAATGACTTGGGCAGGTAATATAACAGTTTGGGAGCCCTCAAATAATCAGTCCCCAGACTGGACTCCTCTTATCTCCTGCTTAGAAGATTTAAGGCTGACTGACAGCATTTTGGGAGCACAGGGGGACAAGTAAACTGATTATTTAAAATATGCAGGCATTTCTACAAGAAAGGAATCATGTCACCCTTCTTTATAACCCTGCCAGTTAGCTGCAATGACTGGGATACAGCAGAGACTGCTGCATAAGGGCTTCTTGACTGTTTCTTAAACTTTCCTAAAGCCACTGTTACTGTGTAAGAGAATTATCCACACCTTCCAAGCAGTATCATCTAAAGCACATCCCTCTGAATACATGACTGATAGCATGTTAAGAAGAGAAGACAAAACTAGAAAACTGGTTAAGACTGAAAGACAAAGTAAACCACAGAATTAGTCACCAAGCTAGGGTATACCTCCTCTTTCCTTGTGACTGATTTTTATGGGCTACCTTATCTGGATTCAGAGCCAAGAAGGTGATGTGATCCAAATACATATTCCTTATCCAGGCTGGGAGAAACTGACAGTTTGACAGCACTCCCGGAAGTTCCCTTGGCCCAGGCTACTGGGTTTCCAGGAGTCAGGTTACCTGGCATACACAGAACGCACATTCCCACACTAGTCTCCTGGTACTACAAAGATACCTTGTATCATTTAGAGTCAAGAATAGCCTTGAGTAAAGAGAAGACTGCTTTACAGGCTCTGGCCCACCTTTTGAACATCCCTGTTCTATAATCACCAGAAGTAACAATAACAGTGACTAGATGTAAATAAGAAATAAGAAAGAATAAATAATAATAAATAATTAAATAAAAAATAAGAAAGAATCATTCATTAATTTCGTAAAGTTGACCAGAACTCCTGCTCTGAGCCAGGTCCCATGTTAGATTTTAGGGACAAAGATATGAAGAGACATTACACTGTTCCTGCCTTTAGAGACTTTACAGACAAGTAAAGGAAGTAAATGAAAACAGTTTTATGTTGAATTTAATGCTACTGTCATTTTAGAAAGGTGAGGGTTTATCATGCCTCTCTTCCCAAATTTGGGATTGCTAAAAAGCATGGAATTGCTAACCCCGCACTGAGCTTCTAAGACCTTAATGTGGGGGGGACACCAAATCATTATGCAGGGCTTCCTTAGATGTGAAACCGTGGTAGATACAAATAATAGTACTTGTTTTTATTGCAAAGCACTTCATGTATTACAGAGTATTTTTACACCCATATCTAATTTAATTGTCAAAGTAACCCTACGAGGGACGAGATTATCTCCTTTTATAGAAGAAATTAAGTGCTTAGAAAAGTGATTTGCCCTTACAAAACTAGTTAATTTGAAACAGAAACCTAGATTTTTTTATTCTCAGTTCAAAGTTCATTTTAATCATATCATGGTGCCCTCGTCACCCAAATTTTGAAGAAAAGCCTAACGACTCATGTGCAGCTATAAGAAATGTCTAGAATAATGCCAAGATGTGCAAAATATGTTAATAATATGTACATTTAATATAAAATAATTAGGTTTCCTTCAACCTGAAATGGAAAAATTATACAAAAACACAGAGAACGATTTGTGAAGACTTTAAAAAGTCATAAATGCCACAATTCTCCCATCCTTAATCTTCCCACAATCTGCTCATATAACAATAAATTCTGGTTTGCCAATAATTTATTTCACAAGTCTTCTATGATACAAAAACACAAAGCAAAATTAAAACATTTCCTACAAAGCCACTGTGCAGATTTTTGAATCAAACCTGAAAGGCTGAGGAAACACTCCCAGAAACCACTCTACCATCTGGGAACTTGTAACCCTGTTGCTTCAATTTCAAGTTCAAAGAGTGGACAACGCATTTATAGTATAAAAATTCAAGTTTTCCCAATCCTTAAAATACTGAGACCATTATTCAAGTAAAAAGGAAAAGCCCTTAAAAAGGCTCAAAAAGAAATTCATCAAGCAATATTGCTTAAAGAAAACCCTTTCCAAAATGGAATTTGGGAGTCGGCAGATCCATGAACAATTTAAATATCCTTTCTGGTGTAAGACAGTTTTCATTAAAGTAGACCACTTGTCCTTTTGTAACTGCTTTTCTGTTCTAAGAGGAAAAACAACACATTTTCTCTGAAATCACTGTATAAAAACGTACAATTTACAAATATAATAATTAGTATTGTCTTATTTGAACATTTACTATGAAATAATTTCAACACAATCACCAAAAGCTTATGCTTCCTCTGATATCAGTCATATACCATATATAGTTAAATGCACTGTCTTGCCAAAGCCCAAGGTAACTGAATCTAAAAATATATATATTTTTTCATTCTGAACTAGCCAGATTGGTATTTAAACCAAACGTCATCAAATTGTTGCACTAAACATGCCAGGATGAAAAGGTTATTTAAATACAAACTGTCCATATGTATCACGTAGAAAATGCTCCTAGCCACCAAAGACTGAATGATTATATCCAGGCTCATCCCCTCTCCCCCAACATGCACAAATGTAAGAACATAAAAATTAAAAAACGGTAAAGACAATGAATGTGAGAAAAGAACTGATAAGTGGACGAAACGCAAACTTTCTATAGTCCAATGAAGACAAAATAAACTGGAAAGACATCTGATATTAAACAAGTATCAGCTAGGGGAGTGGGGGAATTTTTCTTTAAAATTACTATAGTTTCTACTTTAGTTTCAGGCTGAGACATTGACAGATTTTAATGTGAAAAAAATATTTCTAATAACATCTAAATTTGGTACTAGGACAAAAAAATGTAAAAATTTGTTAACAAAAGCTCTTATTAAAAGAGTTATCTTTTGAGTCATTAAAAGATCAGCTTGATTAGCCCACTTCCAGAAAATCAAACAGATATTTTCTCTTTTCTCACAAGATGGAACTCTACTGCAGGAAAAAATTAAAAGGGCTCAGCACCCCCAAAAGTAAAAATCCACTGATTTAACATCAGTTTTCTATAAAAAATCATCTTTAAGATTCTTATCTTTGCTAAACTAAAAACTCACAAGCAACTGCAAATCTGAACAGGTTACATTCTCCAACATGTATGAAAAGGGAATTTTGGTTCTTTTAGATCTGTGCCATGTAAATAAAGGAAAAATGTACAGAACCATTTTTCAGAATCCAAGGGAAAAGGTTTTCCAATTCAAATGGCAATTTAACAGAGCCATTCATTGTTAAAATAACTTGCAATTTCAATGAGTTCTAAATATTGAAACAGCTTGGAATCAAGTTTTCTAATAGTAAATATAAAGAGCAAGCAAGTTTTTGGGAAGAATTCAGAATCTGAAATTTCAATGTTTACATAATACTGATTCACTTAAAATTAAGTAGTTTAAGTAGAACACACATTTGAGGTTAAAAATCAAACTGATACCTAAAACCTAAAATCATAAGAATGCTGCCCTTTATTTTAAAAGGAGGCAGGTTTTCTAATATATGACAAAAAAACCAAAGCCTATCTCCCTGTTTTATAAATATCCATGTCCTTTCTTGGATTCAAAACTTCACTTTAACCCATTTCCCTTGGGTTTCTTCCATCTCACTGAATACCATTGTTGTATTACGATTATAACATCTAGCCAAAGGCAGAGATCACATAAGTCCCCTGAAGACTTCCAAAACATTAAAACCAGTAGAAAAGCAGAGGAAAATACTCTCATGCTTGGAGCTGCTGGGAAATCCTTCTCTCCTTTTAGAAAAATATACTTCTTGTTCTAAAGATAATCACTTGAAGAAAACATCACTAGTACATAGAAATACACAGCACTATCGATAATTCTACAGAGTAACAGTAATAACATCCTACAGATTTTGCTAGTACTTTGGCTTAAAAAAAAGACTAAGTAAAGAACTGTTATATCCAAGGATTTTTTTTTCCAGAAAGAGAAGCGCAATAAAGGAGAAGTCCTTTATTCTCCTTCTCTCATTCAAATGTGCATTCCTTAACACTAAAAAAGATTGCTTTTAAAAAGAATTAGATGCTACTTTGTTGATTCCATTTAACCACAAAGAGAACATCTTAATCCCCTTCTATTTTATAAATATATTAGTTAAATATACAGTATATTTTCTCACTCAGTTGCTTAGGACACCTTTCTCCCAGATAGTCTTATATTTCAAAAGTCTCTGGATAAAAAAAAGAGAAGTCTAAAGATTTACTTTTATATGTTTTCACCATTATTAAAAAAATGGCAGCAATTAACCTATCATTTGTTTTTCAGCTTATTAAAACACACTTTGCTGTAAAGAGCAATCTAAATTCAAATATTGTCAATACACACATACCAAAGGCATGGGCAAAAATACCACCACACAATCACTTTCTATGCACACAGTTCTTTAGATCTCCCTGAAGCATGGCACAGAGGGCAGCTCAAATTTTCATAAAAATTATATGATTTGACTGCACTTTTGCTTCATTTATGGTGCACTGCAAAATTTTAAAATTAGTGTTTGGGTGTTCACATTTTTCACTGTATTGAGAATTCTCTCATGAGAATAAGACATAAAACGTAAAACATTTGGCTTTCTAAATGACAGTGCTGAAACTTGCAGCACAGTTCTACTTTGGCATACATATATAAAGAAAAATTTTATATCCTGTTAATTCATCACTGGTTTTTAATATTCCCCATTAAAATAATTCAATTGCATATGCAGCCTAAACAGCTGGAAAGAACCCAGAAAAGCGACAAGAAAATGACTTTTTTAAAAATGCTGACGCTTTTCACACCCAGGTTCAGTCATGCCCGCTGAAGAAAGGTGTTAGATATGGCTTTATTTATTTTAAATCTTAAAAATGTAGTCATTTCCATGACATTACAAAAACTGGAACCAAGAGCAATTTATCTTCACAGTCCTGATTCTCCTGATGCCAAAACACTTTTTAGAAAATAATTTCTGCAAACTGAGAAGGTATTTTCGATGGATCATTTGTTTGCTATTGCTTAGAGTCTAATTATTTTGTCCCAGATTTCCTAGTGAACTAGGAATACAGAGATAAAACGGAAACACACACACACACACACACACACACACACACACACACACCACAGTGACTCAGTGTCTGAACCACTTCAGATATGGCATCCATTAAGGGGGTCTTTGCTCCTAACCGTGTAAGGGTCCTTAGCTATGGTCTGACTTGCACAAGAAGTACACATGGCCCCTGAGAGGTGCTTTAGTCCCCTTTGGAAGACACTGTTGGAGAGACTATAAATGACACAGTTGCAGAAACTGTTACTAATAGCAAGCCAGGTGGTCAAGAAGGAGGCGAAGCGGTTGCTGTGGCCAGTGGAGCTCTCCAACAAGAAGTAGATGATGTATGGCAACCAGAGGATGTAAAATACACTAGTAATTCGGAACAGGACCATGGCATAGCGCTTATCGGGACAGGTCTGTACCTCCCCAGTCTCCCCACTCTGGCTGCTGAAGCGGGCTTGCCTTTCGCTGATCTCCTTTGTGTGCTGTTGGCAGATGCGGAAGATGTTGAAATAGGTGAAGCACACAATGAGGGCTGCCGGGGCATACAACATCACCACAATGAAGAGGGTGAAGTAGGGGTCAGTGTGCCAGGACTCTGCACACCACTGAAACACATCTCCATGATATCCAGGTTTGCCCCAGTGGAAAAAGGAAGGCAGGAAGACCAGGGTGGAATATAGCCAAATCAGGAAAATACACACACGTAGTCTCCAAGGTGTAACCAGGGTATTATAGGTTAAAGGTTTAGTGATGGCAATATATCTATCGATGCTGATACAGGCCAGAGAGGCCATGGAGACACTCTTCAGAACGGATACTACAAAACCGAATACCTGGCAAGTCAAAGACTCCTCCACTGGAAGGGGGTAGTGGAGGAGTGATAAAGAAGGGACCAGGCAGCTGACCCCAACCAACAGGTCAGCATATGCCATAGTCTGAATAAAATAACTTGTAGTATGATGGTTCAACAAAGGTGCACAGTGAAATACAAAAATCACAATGATGTTGCCAGAAATAATCAATACAGTGAGAAAGACAATAATCAATACTTCCAAAAGGCAAAAATCGACAGTTTCCAAATTGCCAAATGTCAAGAGGCAAAAAGGGTGGCTGCTCTGATTACCATCCAAGGTAGAGTTCATCTTGAGCTCGGGAGTGATCTCTCACTTCATGCTGCCGCTTGGCTGCTGCCAACAGTTCAGAGGAGCAGCTGCAGTCATTGCGGTCAGCTCTGTGGGTCTGTAATAATGCCAGACGAACCTTAGTCCCCAAGCTCCTGATGCTGCTCTGGTGCACTGCCTGCAGTACAATTCCCCTTTAAATCCTTCTTGGAATAGGGAGAACCAGCAGCAGTTGTCTGGCCAGTCCCAGATGCGGCCATAGTACCAGGTTTACCATACACATAGCACCAGGGGAGTAAGGCAAACTCTGGGTACAATGTCTTCAGGCCAATGAGGGTAGGGGGTAGGGGCAGAAGAGAAGGGAGGAAGATTAGGAGCTTCAGCAGGAGTTGTAATGAGGCTCCTCTGAACAGCTGATAGAAGAAAAGGAGAGAGCATTTTACATTTTGCATCCAATGCCCTGATCAAAGAACCTGGCTAGCTCGGGCTGGTATCAACCCTCCCACTCCATCCCACCCCATCCCACCCCACCCGGTACAGCCATTCATGGCTACTCTCAGCGGCACCCCACATAACTGGTCCTGACTCTACAGAGGAGGAGCAACAACAGCAAGCTTTCATGATCAACATAAAACAAAATCAATCGCAAGCCAGATCAATCTAACCCCATTTCCTTTCATTTGAGCCTTTTGGGGGAAGAAAAGGAATCTGCTTACAGCATTTCCGAAAATATTTTACCATAACTACCACTAATAAAATTACTTAAGATAATTTATTTTCTTCACTGATTCCAATGTAGTATTTCGCCTCTTTGAAAACATTTCAACAGAATTTATCTGTCTAGCTCGATTCCAGAGTGTTACCTGTAATTCTGCATGCTGCAATCCAAACAAAAGCCACAAAACATCCTTAACAGAAAGCCTTGCAGTGCAGGAATGTGCCTCAGCCCCGCTGACTGCAGAACTGAGACACAGAGGGAGGGGATAGAGGAGGAGGAGGGGAAAGAGAAGAGGGGGCTTGGGAAAAGGAAGAAAGGGGGGAGGGGAAAGAAAACGCCTATGCGCACACACCCTTCGGCATCTTTAGCAGCTCATTAGAATTCATGGCCAGAGAAGTGGTCCCTGATTTCCCGACTGCACAGTGGGGGAATAACTTAATATGCCTGCAGTGCAGTGTTTGAAAGCTGTTTCCTCGTCTGTCTGGAATCCCCCTTTTAGTCGATGAGCAAAATTCAGACTGCTAGTAAGGAGAAGGGGTTGTAACCGGGACAAAATGCCAGCCAGGAATTAGACTGAAACAAAAGCCAAGGGGGTAATGGTGAGAGGAAATTCCAATTTTCTTATAGCATTTTCCTCAGGGACAAAGAGCAATGCTAAAGAATGAGTGTGTTAACAGTGCATGGCAACTGAGGAATCCCAATTCAGTGGCACAAGAAGTTCTAGCTAGAAGGCTAAATGTTCAGCATTAATTTTCTCTCACAATTCCCTGGATATCGGCTAATTTTAAGAAAGATGACAAAAATAACAAGCAAACTTAAAAATCAGTTTTTCAAGAGAAAAAATAAAGAAAACCTCACCCATTCTGAACACTGAGGAAACAGCATACAAGCACACTGTTCCTGTATTCAGTGCTACCCTAGAGTTTTGAGATGCCATTTCTTGCTTTTAGTTTACTGAGAAGCAGTGCACAAAAATATACACAAAAGGTGGACAAGTAAATAAACCCATTTCACTCAGGCTTCAAAACTACAAGAACTTTCCTGGTACAAATCAGCTTATGTATCTTAGAATAAACAATCTCATTTGTGCCTACTTAAAACAATGCAAGTTGGGATTATATTGTGGAATATATTACACTGTGTTGGGATTATATTCTGGCATTCTAGAAAGATGGCACACCTGCGCAGGGATACATGTTATGTGATCCAATTTTCATTTTTTTGTTTCACACACATGCCTCCTCACTGCAAGCAAATGGTCCCCCATAATCAGAATTCAATTAATTATATCTTAAGAGCTAAAGCACTCCACTTATTATAGGAAGGCAACGCTAAAAAACCTATTGAGCATAAGCTTGATAGCTATATTTGACGATCTTACTGGAAAACATGGCTAAGTGTGGCATATAGAAAACCCATGGCACTGACCACCCAACTCGTTCAAATCCTTGGTCTTACATTACTAAGCCTCCTACCCTGTTTCATCATCTATAAAATGAGGATCATACTCCCTATTTCACAGATTTATTGCAAAGTAAAGGAGAAGGTGTATACATACAAAAGGCTTACCAATATTTAGCACATAGTGGGTATATAACTTTATTCCCTTTCTTCTCCTAGAACTAAAATACCCTTCCTAGGTAGTCTGTGTTTTTCTGCCAACCATGTTTGCACTGCTTGAGGATGGGGTCCTCTGATTCCTGAAGTGCCTCTCTTGTTGTGGCTGCCCAGTTCTGAGGCACAACAGAATATCCAACAGTTATTTGGATATTTTGCTGTCACACATTCCTCAAATACATTGAGGCTATACACACGTAAGGCAGTAAAAGCATCTATAAAGAATGAATGATGATATGGCATCAATTATTCCCTCTACACGAATAATTTCTCTGCCTATGTCTCCAGCCCTGACTTCACTCCTGAGCATTCTTTCCCATTTACAATTTACCTGCTAGCCAATACATCTTCCACCTGGATGTCCTGCAGACTTCACCCACAGCATGTCCAAAATAAAATACATTTTTCTCAACAAATTGGCCTCTTTTATCTTTTTCCAACACTTTTATTTTTTCCAGGCACTCAGGTAAGAAACTCAGCAATCATCTTGACCACTCTCTCCCTACTCAATGTACTACTCTTACTCACCAGGTTCCTGGCAATCTGTATCTACAGTGGCTCTCAATTCAGTTTTTAATACTTTAAGGCCATCATTAAATATTGTCTGGGCTTTTAATCTTCTTCATTTTTCGATCTATTCATTTCTGCCCAAACATCTAATAGTATATGCTTTATTATGGTATCCACAGCTCAATAAAAGTCAATGGCTCCCTAGTGCCTCTCCAATCTAATCTCCCTATTCCACACCGCCCCCCACACATCCTGCCCTCCAGACAAACCAGGTTACTCACTATTCTATTCATCTGCCACACACTTTGTTTTTGAACTCTCACTGTTTGAGTGCTTAATACTGAATGAAAAAAGAAATGATTTCTGAGAATTCTATTTCAATAAACAGAAAAAACATTTACCAAAGTCAATAGTACAAGCTCTTCTAACTACTTGTGAAGTTTGTCATGTAACTTATTCTCCATTTCAGGTGTCTCATGTATAAAACTAGACAGTTACGCTGATTAAAAAAAAAGATATTACATTGGTTAATAACTTGAAAGAATTAAAAATGTAATAAAAATACAAGCTGTTACATTACTATCACTAGTATAATAATAGTTCTTCCAACTTCATTTCCATTTTAGTAAAATCACTTGGAGCTATAATCAAAATATTCATATAGGAAACCTAAAACAACAAAAAGCTTGCGAGCTACACTTTACCAAATCAGTCAAGAGTTAAGTGTTTTGTTTCAGATTAAAGAAAAATGTTTTCTTCAGAAGAAAAACATTATTAAGGACATAAAGTGGCAATAAATCTACATCCTCAACAAAAATCTATACAGGGGCGCCTGGGTGGCACAGTTAAGCCTCTGACTCTTGATTTCTCGGCTCAGGTGGTGATCTGGGATATTGAGATTGAGCCTGGGGGGTTAGGCTCCCCTCTCATCATGGAGTCCGCTTGGGACTCTCTCCCTCCCCCTCTGCTCTTCCCCCCTGCATTCTTTCTCTAAAATAAACACAAATTTTTTTAAAGATTTTTTAAATTTATTTATTCAACAGAAAGATAAGAGAGCACAAGTAGGCAGAGCAGCAGGTAGAGGGAGAGGGAGAAGCAGGCTCCCCGCTGAGCAGGGAGCCCGACGTGGGGCTCAATCCCAGGACCCCGGGATCATGACCTGAGCCGAAGGCAGACGCTTAACGACTGAGCCACCCAGGAGCCCCAAATAAATAAAATCTTAAAAAAAAAAAAAAACTATAGGGGTCCCTGGGTGGCTCAGGTCATGATCCTGGGGTCCTGGGATCGAGCCCTGCATTGGGCTCCCTGCTCAGCGGGAAGCCTGCTTCTCCCTCTCCCACTCCCCCTGCTTGTATTCCCTCTCTCGCTGTCAAATAAATAAATAAAATTAAGCTTAAAGAAAAATCTATATATACTTCCCTTTTTATTTTTTTAAGTTTTTATTTAAATTCTAGTTAGTTTACAGTGTAAAATTAGTTTTAGGTGTACAATATAATGATTCAACATTTCCATATAACATTTGGTGCTCATCACCTATTTAACCTATCCCCCTTCTTCCCCACCTCTAGTAACCATCAGTTTGTTCTCTAGAGCTAAGAGTCTGTTTCCTGGGGCACCTGGGTGGCTCAGTCATTAAGTGTCTGCCTTCAGCTCAGGTCATGATCCCCAGGTCCTAGGCTTCCTGCTCAGCAGAGAGGCTGCTTCTCCCTCTCCTGCTCCTCCTCCTTGTACGCTCTGTCATATAAATAAATAAAATCTTTAAAAAAAATAATGCAATCTCATGATATATTTGTGGCTTTTGGGTAAAAAAAAATAGTATTTCTGTATGTGTATATATATATCTATATATATATATATATGATTGGAAGGAAACACACTGGAAATCAACTCTACTTTTTAGTGGATCGTGGGTGGGATTACAAGAGATTTTTTATTTTATGTTTTTCTGTATTTTATGAATTTCCCAATTTCTTTGTACAGTTGACCCTTGAACAACATGGGTTTAAACTGCACAGGTCCACTTATAAGTGAATCTTTTCGATAAATACTGCAGTACTGTAAGTGTATTTTCTCTTCTCCTTATGATTTAAATAACATTCTTTTCTCTAGCTTACCTTACTGTAAGAATACAGTATTTAATACGTATAACATACAACATATGTGCTAATCAACTGTTTATGTTATTGGTAAGGCCTCTAGTCAAGAGTAGGCTATTAGTAGTAGAGTTTTGGGGGAGTCAAAAGTTTTATGTGGATTTTCAAATGTGGGACGGGGTCATTGCCCCTAAGCGGCATGCTGGTCAAGGGTCAAATGTACATTTTTATAATCAGGTTTAAAAAAACATCGAGGGGCGCCTGGGTGGCTCAGTCGTTAAGCGTCTGCCTTCGACTCAGGTCATGATCCCAGGGTCCTGGGATGGAGCCCCGCATTGGGCTCCCTGCTCAGCGGGAAGCCTGCTTCTCCCTCTCCCACTCCCCCTGCTTGTGTTCCCTCTCTTGCTCTATCTCTGTCAAATAAATATTAAAAAAAAAACATTGAAAATAATATATAACATGCCACGAGATGTCCTCCCAGAGCCACACTGAATGGATGATACCAGGTTTAAGTCACCTACTTCATGGGACTTCGTTTCACTGGTCCTTATATCATCACAGCAACATTTTTTCAGACAGGCTTCGATGCTCAATTTAACTCAAAATGGACCCTCAGAGCCCTGGTTAAAAATTCTTACAGAATGAGAATATAACTGGATGAACCATGTAAAATGGCCAATATGTAACCATTTCTGGTTAAATAGTTTCTGATCTACAAAACTGGAAACTTTTTTTTTTTTTTTAAAGATTTTATTTATTTGAGAGAGAGAGAGAACATGAGAGGGGGGAGGGTCAGAGGGAGAAGCAGACTCCCCGCTGAGCAGGGAGCCCGATGCGGGACTCAATCCTGGGACTCCAGGATCATGACCTGAGCCGAAGGCAGTCGCTTAACCAACTGAGGCGCCCAAAACTGGAAACTTCTATATGGTTCAACCTAATACTAAAAAATGAAAGTGACAGAACTAAAAAGGAAATAAGGCAAAAAGAGGAAACATGAAACAGAAAAGGGAAATGACTGCTCAAGTT